GATTTCGCAACCGAGTTCACTAAGACGCCTGAATGGAATTTGGAGGAAACCCAAGGGGTGCATTCATCATCCATCATCCCGAGTTTATGACTTTTGCCCGAACGGCTTGCGCCGTGTTGTTGTCCCACACTTCATGGGAGGTCAGGGCCAGGGAGTGGCCTCAAGGCTCAGGGGAGTTTATCGAAATAGGACACCCCTTCTTGGCTGGCTTCAAAGGGAAACCCAAAGAAAACCAAGCAGCTGGAGGGTTCCAATTTTGAAAAACACCCACCCCCCCCCGCCCCCCCGCCCCCTCTTCCCCTCTTAGAGAGACGTCCTCCAATCGCATTTTGTGGGCTGACAGTGCAGACCTTAGGAAAAGGGGGCCACGCAAACCACGACACACCAGAAGCCCAAAAGAAGGGGGGCAAAGAGCCAAAGAACAAAAAAGTACACTGAGGTCTGCAGAAGGCAAGCAACAAATATGCAGAACCGCGTTTCCCTGATCCAATTTTGAAAAATCACCCAACCCCCCCCTCTTCCCCTCTTAGAGAGACATTCTCCAACCGCATTTTGTGGGCACCTTTGGCCACTTCTGGCTCCCAAGGGAAGACCTTCGTGACCTGCACTGATACAAAAGCTATCAGGGCCCGATCAGCGACCTCCGTCGAGGATCAGCGACGCCAGCCGGCGGTTTTTTGACCCGCAACGAAGAGGGCTTCGTGAAGGGGATGGTTGCGACGGTTTTCACTCTTATCATGGTTGTTGTTTGGAAACAAGTTACAAATGTTTGCTTATTGTGGTTTAGTGGGAAATCCCCACTTAACTGCTAAAATGTAAATGTTTGCTCCCCTTCCAACGTCAACCAAGTTATCCCATCCCCACATTGTCTCCTTCTCTTCGATTCTCCTGTTGTTTTTTCTTTTTTTTTTTTTGTTTTTTTCCGGCATTGGTTCACTTGGTTCACTTGGTTCACTTGGTTCACTTGGTTCACTTGGTTCACTTGGTTCAATTCAAGTGAAGAACATTGTAAGTGAAGACCAAATTGAGGTGAAGTGACGCCAAAGCAAAGAACCATAGGCCATAGGTGTCTCTTTTTTCCGCTTGGTTTGCTTGCAAAAGAAAAAGAGAGGGCCCTTGGATTTAGATGGGGTCTATTCCATAGACCTATGCAAAGAACTCGCTTCGGCCGTGTTGGCTCGCGATCGCGGAGGCCAGTGGCACCAGTCGGGGCCGCTGGCAGGCTGTCCAGGGGTTCATACATGTTCATACCCCTGGGCTTCTGGTTTCCAACCCACTTCAGGGCTCCTTAAAAGAAATTCATTTTGCCCATCTGAAACACGGCTTTTTCCACCAAAGTAAAGGGACACCTCCCTTTACAAGACAATGTTCAGGTGTAGAATGTAAGGATCCCTGTTTAAAAGGGGTATAGAATATTTTGGGGGACAGGGGTATCAACATCAGGCCTTTTGGGTTGATTTGTCCAAGTATGTAAAAGGGGTATGTACAGGCACGCCTAGAATCTGCCCCCTTCGTGGGGGAAGTAGTCCCAGCCCAGAGGTGCCCTTTTTCCCATTTTTTGGGAAGGGTTCCCCTTTAAAAAAAGGATGGGCATCTGAGTATTCGATACATGGGTGTGTCCGGGATGAACCATGAGCCAATGAAACCTCAGTGAACCGCGAGTATCTCACCGAAACAATGCCGGTGTTGGAACACGACACACATTTGCAGTGGTCCATATGGATCATGAGAGTGATTACCATAGGTCGTGTATGGGGTTTATCTCTCGATAAATCCCAACGGGTGGTTTCCGTTGAGTCTGCCTTGTTAAACATCCCAAGGGTACCCTCATGAGGCGACTCCGATGAGCCACCCCTGTGGTGAAGGACACACAACACCATGAAGGGATGCGCACGTCCGCCCCACTTAAGTTGCTTTTGTTGTTTTTTTCCCTACCATCTTCTTGAGAAGGCCCCTTTTCCAGCATGCATGGCTTTCCCTCCTCAACATTACTCCGGTTTCCTTTTGCAGGACACCTAGGCTTGCTAAGCGCCAACTGACGGTGAAGTTCTTTGGGGGGGGATGGCTTCTACTTGGATGTTCAGCCCACTGTTGCTCCACTTCCCTGCTCACCTGACGTGAACATCTAAGCAGGGTCGTCCCTGGAGAGAAATTTACTCTGAGGCTCGAATCGAGCTGAGCCTGGCAGAAAGGACGGGTTGAGACATCCACCTCCTTACTGAATTGAAGGGAGGACATCCTGGGATTCCGTTTGAGTAACCGACAATGTTGTGCGCGCTACCAGGGGCCTACCCAAAACTTCCATTTGGTTAAGAACATCTTTTCTTTGCCCCTGTTGGTTTTGAATTAAAGGGAATTCGGAATCTATCACTACTGGATTTTTGTTCCAGGGGACTTAAGCAAATGGAGGGAAAATAAATAACTAGCCTGGTATTTCTTGTTTGTTGCTGATTCGAGGTTCGTTCCTCAACACATGAGGTCAACGCCCGACATTTATGGGCTCATTGCCCCACATTCAAAGGGTCATGGACGCTCCAGGTGCTCAAGATTAGATTACCATGTCAGGTCCATTCGCAAGCCGACAGGTTAGGATTCATTGCTTAAATCGGTCCCCGCAACCGTCCCAAATGTATTTTCTCAGTTTCTTCCCTAGGGGGATGGTGAGTGGGTCGTTTATGATGGTCACCTGGGTTGGGGACACCACGTCGCAGGGGGACAGCTCGCAGCTTGAAGTGCCAAAGGGGTTTCCAAAGTCTTTCATTCTGCTGGAGCTTGCCCAGAGTGAAAGTCACCCAGAACCGAACGAATCGCATTCGACAGCAAGCCTGGTAAGATCCCCCCAGATCCTCGGAACCTCTATTTAGGTTTGCTCCAATCCGTCTTTGCCCGAAAATAGAAGGTACCGAGGACATGTCCTTCTCAGGCTACTACCTTGGAAACAGTGGACTACCAAAACATGGCCTCAAGGGGTTCAAAGGAGAGGCGTGAGTTGCTTCCAGTTGTCAACAATTCTCCACCAGCCCACGTATGTTACTCTCCCACCAATTAACATGGAACTTGAGCGGTGGGTCCTGGAAGACCATTTTCCTTTTAAAGGGACCCCTCTGTCAGGTTCCACGTGAATTGTCCCTTTTGTGTCAAACTAGCGCTCGGGATTCGAACATTTGGCAGGACGAGCCCGCCGGAGGCGTCTCGGGAGAGGAAAAGGGGGGAGGTTCAACCTGGGAGTCCCCCTCCAACACTCTTTCTTCCCACTAGTGCCCTTTTACACTTTTTTTGGGGAGGGTTCCCCTACTAAAAAATAGATTACAGGAAAAAGCAATCGGGTACCCTTCTAACCTCTCAAATCTGGAGGACCCAGCTTTCATGCAAAGTAAACTTGTGCTGTCCAAGGACCTGTTCCTGTGCTTGAGGCCCGCAGGGTGGTCATCCACCTGGTAAGGATCATGAAAAGGATCCACTGGTGATTCTTGGCCATAGGCCAAACACACGGACGTTCAGCATGGCTCACATGAAGCAGAATCCGACATGAGTCAGTGTACCCCAGATGCCAGGTTGGGAGGGTAAACAAAGAAAGGACACATGTCAAGCCTACCTTTGCTTTGGTTCTTTCAAAGCCTGCAAAAGAATCTTTGGACAATGACCGTCGCCCCGAACTAAACTTTCGCAGAGTGCCACAGACCAAACCAGCTGTTTCTCTGTGGATATATATGAGTGTGTCTTCAAGTGAGGAAGGCCTCAAAAAGAGGTGGTGTCCTTCTGAATGCCCTTTCAAACAATCCCAAAGCAGAAAGGATCAACTCCTAGCTGTCCTTGTCAAACAGGGAAGCAGCGTATGCTCTATTCATGTGGGTAAATCATAACAAGCTCTCCGATCCAGAGGTAAAACGAGCTCACCTATGCCAAGGTCTCCAACTTCGTGATTCCTTATTTGTGATTTGCCCAGATTCGTGGCATGTAATTCAGAGGTATAGACGAGCCCAAAGAAGTCGAAGAAGTGAGGGTCCATTCAACTTTCCGGCAGCCAGTTCTTCCAGACATTGAGATTGGGCCTTTTCTCAACCTCAATGCCCTCGGACCCAAAGTGAGTGTCACCAAAACCACAAGGGTAGAAAGTGCAACCCTTCAAAACTTCCCCTGCACTTCGAACGGACGTCTCGGGTCGGATGTCCGCAGGTGGGCTTCCCATTTTCGACGCCCACCAAGCGCCAGACTGAGTCGGGGCTTCCCGCTCGCTATCGAGTCCCCGAGCGACCCCAGGGCCTGGGAATGGCTTCGAAACCCCAAACCCAACCAGTGGACTTCATTAGGCATCCTAAGAAAACTCAAATTTGAGTGAAAGCACTCCTTTTCAGAGGTCAAAAGTACGAGGTGATTTTCCGAACATGTGTGCCATCTTGTTGCTGCCCCAAAGTTGAACAATACACACCTCCATTTGCAACGGAGACATAGCTGATCGGTGGTTCTTCCAGGGTCATGGATTCAGGTGAATTGGTGTGTGCAGATCCTCCTCGCGGATTTGCCCTTTGTGTCCTGCCTCAGAGAAGGGTGGTCCCTTTGAATTCAAGTACAGAACAGCGTAGCCCTTTTGGTATTTTACAGCACTTGGTTGCCCGTGTTGGTAAAACATGCTGATTGTTGGGTGTTCGCTCGTTCACTTTACTCTACTCGAAGTATCCAGAACATCTACCGCATGTACTGCTGGCCGGGGACCATTTCCAGTAACAGCATCATGAAGCAGCGATCGGAACATCTTTCCCCCGGTCCGGTCGGGGCTTGCCGCGGTGCGTGAGCCACACAAAACCCATGGCAAAGTTCGAAATGGTCAATCACCCGCCTCTTGCGCGGTGCCTTAACAGATCTAGGCAACATTTGGGGTGTGTTCAATACTTAAGTAGCCGCTCTTGTTTTACTTTTCGCCCCTTGCGCCCACCTTGCGCCAAGCTTGAGCGTGCACCCGATCTGATTCCGCAGACGGGGTAGAGGTCTCAGCAGCCGCTATGAAGCTAAGCTTGTGAAAAAGACGGAAGGCCCTTTGAGCACTTGGATGTTTAATGATCAACCCTAACAAGTAACGCCCCGTTTAACATGCTTGGTGCAAACTGGGGCAACATTAGAGGATGCTTGTTCTTGGCTTGGGATCTTTGGGAAGGTTCCATGACCTCAAGTTAGAAGAGCAGGCTGCGCCGGGCTTTGCTTATCATGTGCCACCCCCCAACCGGGCAAACTGCATTTGATTAATTGAGTCAGGTTTCCCATGAGGTTGAGTCGCAAGCGAGTAAAGACTTTTGTCGCAAGTGAGTGCTTCCTCTTCCAAGAAGGGCAAATAGCATTTCCTGTGGAGTGTCTACCAAGAATCTCTTCCTAGAGGAGGTTGGTCTGAGTACCTTTCCACACAGGTGTCATTCTTCTGCTCAAGCACTAGTTTGACATTTCCTTCCTTACCCACTACCCCCAATGGCTAAATGGGATGTACAACCACTAGTATATAATGCCCTATTTTCCCCCTGGGGGTAGTGATTTTAGGGTAGTAGAAATCACATTAAACCGGGGCGTGTGTACGTGTGTGTCTCGTTTTCAGGTTGTGAAGCGCACTTATTCGCAACATAGTTCCGATCTCTGCTTGAGTAGCGATTTGTGCGACGGTTCTCTACTTGAACTGCTTTGGAAAGATGTTGCAAAGTGCATTTACCCCTTGTGTGGTCAGACTCAAAAGGCAGAAATTGGGAGATCTCTAGTTAATCCCTCATCGATTTCCAGCAACATATTCAAACCTGCACCATTGGCGGCCCCCATTGCGGGAGGGGTGCAGGTTCTGTTTGCTGTTGGGATGTTCTTTGGGCACATGAAAGATGTCACAGGGGTTGGTCAACTGTTGACCCCGGGGGTGATTTTGCTTTGCAATAAATCCGGACCTCATAGTGGAAGCCGTTTTGTGGCAGGGCCTATATGGGTGTGGCTGACCCGGGGTTACGCAGGTTTTGGTCTTAGTTTCCATTTAGCCAGGTGCCATTGTACATGTTTTTGAGCCACAGCAATCCTGCCCTGTAAATACCAACCAACCATGGTTTCCCATGGTTTCCAAGTGGTGCAGGAATTCGTCCATCCACAGTATCTTGACCACCTAGTATTTTGCATCCCCTTCTTGCCGCATGAAAAGTCGGCGAATGCCAAGGACCGCCTTTCGCGCGGACGCGCCGGAATTCGTGCCGCGAGGAGACGAAGCTCGCGACTCGCGAAAACGCCCCGCGAGCTCCAAGCGAATCGCCCGAAGCGTTCGCGTTTTTTTTTGGACCATGGCGTTTCGTTTTGTCGATTTGGACACACCAAACTGGTGGTGTTCCTTTGGTGTCCCTTTGAAACCACCAAAAAGGGGCACCAATTCCAAAAAAAGCTCATGGCCATGTATAGTCAGAGGTCCAAAACGTCCGTTTGCTTAAGACTATGTTTTACCTCTGTGATGGTTTGACAAGGGAATCCATCACTACCGTTTTTTCCCCAACAGCTGAAAGCTACTGTGGTCTCGGCCCACATAGGCTCTGCGGAGGTTTTGGCCAGCTTTGCAGTTGCAGGGAGGGTTCCAGAGATTCGGTTTCAGGGCGTTCCAGAGCCGCTGGGGATTTCACCTGGGCATATTTGTTTTTTACAGGGCTTATGCGGCCAGAGGCCGGTCTCCCATCCCCGGTGCTTTTTGGGTATCCTTGGTGTGGGCGGGGTGGGGGGGGTGGGGGTGAATGCATCTCGCATAGGCCTGTCTCAAGACATTTAACCTCGGAAAATGAGTGGCATGGGGCGCCAGATTCTTGGGGCGCACAAAACAAATCTGGGTTTGCCTCAACATATCGAACCCCTAAAAACACATGGCTTTCCTATACAGCTTTTTCGAAGAACGTATCCTAAAAATGGACCCGCGCAGCCTCTCTAGGTGTTTTTTTTTTCCCCCCGCCAAGGGCGCAATGGGCGCAGGTGAGCTGTTCGAGACACCGGCCAAAGAGGCAGCAGAGGTGCCGGCGGGGACTTGGGATGGTTGGGCACATGCTCTGTTACCCTCAATTTCCCAGGGAGGGGTGGTCCGAGTTGACCGACTGACCCATCTATTAGGAGGGTTGATGCAAGAGAATGTTGACTGTCGATGGACGAATTATGGGGAGGGAGGGGAGGGGGAGGGAGCCCAAATAAGCCCTACATAAGGCCTTAATAAGGGGTCTTAGTAAGCGCTTTTTTTTTTTGCTTTTTATCCCCCGCTCCCATGAACTAAATCCTGCACCACCTTGACACCATGGTTGAAACCAGTATTTGTTGGTATCATCAGAAACCAGGTTCTTAGGTGTTGCAGGATTTCGTGCATCCACAGTATTAATCAACCCCAGTTTATTTTAATCGGGGTCCCGGTGTCCCTGGGTGAAATGTGCGGAATCAGACAATTTTTGGAGGGGAACACCCCCCTTTGATGAATATGGGGTCAACATGACTGAGGGGTCCGTGCCCCTTCCGACGCGTTTGGCCTCATTAGCGTTTTGTAGGCAAGGCACGCTTGAGGGTTTATTCAGCGTTTGAGCCCAAAAGAAGATGTTCGCTGCCGCAAGAGGGTTGGCTTCTCTCGCCGCGCGACCCATGAATGCGGGCGTTTGAATAGGCTGTGTGAGGGCAAGATAAGAGCCAATTCGAAAATTGTTTTGTTGTGCAAACTCTTTTGAGGCCTGTAAACCTACTGAATCCACAAATCACGTTAAGGCCAACTAAGTCTTGCGAGCTCTCATGCAGGGAAATAGGGCAAGCCTGGCTGGACTTGCATACGGATTTCTCGTTCCGGGAAGACCCTGGTCGCTTTTGAATCATTGTGCATTTTGGGTTCACCACATATGAACCAAAACCCTTTGTGGCAATACCCAAAGGGAGCTTTTTTTAGCGTTGGTCTGGCTGAAGGCAAAGCTTCAGGTAGCAGGACGCTGTTTGACGCGCCCCCCCCCAGCGGCCGAGTCGGTCATATCACCCCAGGATGACTTTGTGGAGAGCCGCTTCAAGATGTTTGGGCCCCGGGCATGGCTCCCCCCCCCCCTTCTGCCTGCCGCAGCCAAGAAAAGAAAAAATCAGACGAAGCACAAAGAACAAGGGGAGTTCCAGTTCTCGACTGATTGGGTTGGATCTTTAAACTTTAACTTTTTGGAAAATCAAGGGGGTTCCCCCTAAACCCGAAAAAGTTATTTACTTTTTGCAGGGGGGTCTACAGCAACCAAGAGCTTTGCCGTTGTTTTGGGGAAGCCAGGAGAGGCAACTGCCTATGGCAAGGGAGAGCTTGAGCGCAGAAAGCAGAAGCAGAGAAGCAAACCGCTGAGAAGACAAAACGCCGCGGCGTGTTGTGTTTTTTTGCAGGGTTTGACCTGTTCGCTTTGGCGATTGCTTGCAGTAGTTCACATGTTGGACTTTTGTAGGGGTTTAAGTTGGAGCCCCAGAAGTGTGGGATTCATCCGAAGCCAGACCCCACGCGGGGTGCGGCTTCTGTGGTACTTGCCTGGGGGTGTTGTAGCATGGTAAGTGTCTAATTCACCTAGGAAGAAGGGAGAGCTTGGGAAGACCTGGCACGCAGAAGTGGCTGGGTAAAGCGGGAGCCGCGTTAATTTTTGTTCTTGTGGGAGACTGCTTGTTTGAAAGAGGCAACGTAAGACACAGCGTGTGCAAGTTTATGTTTGCGCAATGATGTTGACTTCAGGTCAAAAGACCTGGCCAGGCTAATCTGAAGTGGCTCCCACGAAAGTAGCCAAGAAATTGTTTCGAAGATGCATTTGATTGGCATCGTCGCCTGGATGAATCCTAACATCCGAAGCCTGAATGATGCCCACATATGGACCGCCATTTCGGGCTCAAAAGTGACTGGTGCGTAAAAGGGGTTCATACATGAGCAACGACCAGGATCACCAGGGTATCAGTTTTGGGGCAGTCCCCCAAACGGTTTCACTGGTTGATAGATATCGGGCTTGGTGGTCCGGTCTGTTGCCTGAATGTGACGTGGAAGTGCACACACACCCCTGTAGACTACTTTCCAATTGGTCCAGGTTAGTTGGGGGGAGGGTGTTTTTACATCCCATCACTCAGCCTATCGCCCGATCAGCCTAGGCTGCGCGTGCGTCAAGCTCTCGCGGAGGCACGGAGAAACGTACGGGCCTGCGCGCTTCCACGTGTGTGAGAGGGAGGCTACTCAAGAGTTGGGGGGGTAGAACTCGTATGGCAAATGAGCACATATGGCTCGATGGCTGGTCTGTATGTGAAACTCTTTGGACAAGCAAGAAAAAAACCAAGCTCTGCGAAAGGGAAACCCAAGCCTAGGGGTTTGTGACACGCGGCATGTTTGTTTAGAGGTTGGCTTTACTCTGATCAGCAGGCAACAAGCTGTCGATTTGCTCCGCTTAGGGATTTGGGTCTGTCTTTTTACAGGGCTCCTTAAAAGATGCATTTTGCTCATTTGAAACATGGCTTTTTCCACCAAAATAAAAGGGAAACCACAATTTACAAGGCAATGTTCAGGTGTATAATGTAAGGATCCCTGTTTTAAGGATACCCAAGTACCGAATAATTGCGATGTCCAGGGGTTTCAGATGTGCAAACCAATTTCCAGAAGTGACCATCAATGTCTAGGGGTTTTACCATCTTCACACCAGGAGTTTGAACAAACTCTGTGTTTTATGTTCACTGAGACCCGAAAGAAAAGAAAAAGAAAAAGAAGAATAAAAGAAAAGACAAAAAACAGGTCGTCTCCCCTGATTTTACGCGAAGTGTCCCATGGATTTGGAAGATCCAGGAAGGGATGAGTGCCCTTTTAGCGGGTTCGCTGGATTTCCCCGAGTCAAAAGTTGATCAATGCACCGGTGGTTGTTGGGTTTCTTTGGTTTTGTTCGATTTCCTTTGATCTTTGGTTGGTTTCAGTTTTCTGTCCTATGGTTCAGTTTGGATTGGGTTCCTGTTGTTTGTTTTTGCTTTTCTATGGTTGTGTTTGGATCGGTTTCCTTTGTGTGGTGTTGCTTTTCGATGGTTTGGCGTCCTTTAGTTTGCTTTGGTTTTGTTTTTGCTGGTCAGGGTTGGTTTGGCTTCTCGTTCGGATTGGTGTCCGCTGGTCTAATTTCCTTTGGTGCCGAGGGGTGGCTTGGTTTCCTTGAGTTGGCTTGTTGGTTTTGTTTTCTCTTTGGTTTGGATTGGTTTCGTCTGGTTTGTCTTCACTTGGTTCGCTTCGGTGGTGTTTTCTTTGTTTTGATTTTTGCTGGTTTGCCTTGGTTTGGCTACTCATATGCACAAGCTTCCCGTAGTTGGCACTTAAACCCCGGGTAATCCATTTCGGGATCCGGATGACTCTAGGAGTTGCACCACCCGTCCCCAATCGGTTGTATCAATCTGGTGTCAACCTTACCCTTCGAAGGTGCTCTAAACGGTAAAGCGAGTTGCGGTTTTTCTCCGGAAGATCAAGATGAGAGCTGTTGCAAAGTCGTTTTTTGATTTGGCAAAGACGTGAGTGGATGTTCCAAGCGTGGGGTCCTTTTCCTGTTTTCCCGCTGGGGTTGCTTTAAACACAAACGCACATTTTTCAGGTGACCCTTAGTCGGTTTGGATTGGTGGTGTGAGATTTGCAGCCCTGGCTTCTGAGGGAAAATGAGAAACCGCCCCCAAAGCTCCACAACACCAATCCAGAGGGCAGATGAAAGTGGTGGATTGCCCTGTTCAACCGTGACGCTTCAATGCTTCGCCTTGTCAGGAGTCCAAGATCCCCGATGCAGGTGCTCAGTGCGGGGGGAGGTACTTTAGGAGAAGTGAGCGCTGGTCACCATAGTTTGCTCCCCCCTTTTCGGGTGGTCTAGACATCACCTTTGGTTGCCAGTCTTCATTGCAACAAATGGTTTTGCCGAAATAAGTGGTTTGAATTCCTTTTGAAATGACGCGTCCTGCCCTGAACTGGCCGCGTATAGTTTCGGTTCGAATTGTTTTTCCCACTGATTGGACTAAAATGGTTGCTTCGAAATAATCGCTTAGCTCCTTTCACACGTGTTTGTTTCCCTCCTAACAAGAGAACTTCGGGAAAGTGTTTTGTTTTGGACCAAGACAAAATCCACTCAGGACAACAACACTCCCGATTGTTTGGAAGGCAACGATGCTCCATAGAGAACGTGCGCGGAATTGGCGGGCGGACGTAAACAAGACCGATTTGGGGTTCTATTTCACCTGCTAAGGGTATCAAAGGGCCAGATTCCTTGCGATTTTGCAAGAAGACCCACTCAGTTGGAAGGGGCATCCCGGATCCCCTGATTATCTAGTTTCTGGTAATTTTCAAGCAATTGGTGATTCATTATTGTGTTACGCCATCTTACATACGGTCTAGGATTCTTGGTTGCTCTCTGGTTCGACCAAGTTGTGCGACATCAGGAAGGAGGTCTGTGCACGTCCATGTTTGGCTGGAATGTACTCCTCTGCAATTGAGGTGGGACCCACAGAGACGGTCCCCCAGAAGGAGATCCCTCCAAACGTGAAGGTCTTGTGGTTTCAATGTGACTCTGCAGGGGGATGGTAACCAAAGGAAAAGGTCCATTTCATGACTATATCAAGCGATGGCCCAGCTTTTATCATTTTTATGGATTTTGCCAATAATGTCTTCGGCTCTTGATCAGGTTGTGACATGTCTGGAATCTCTTGACAAGCAAGAAGACTTGTCCGATTCGCGTGCTGTGCCCTAGGATTCGACAGCTCAGTTTTGAAGCAGTGACCTGTAGAGATGGACCGAAACATTCCTCTTGACCGATGAAACCTCCTGATTGTAGCATTTGTAAAGCGCTAACACCACTGGCAGCGCATCTTTCCGAATCCCCATTTTTTTTCTAAAGAAAAACACTATCCGTTCAGAACTGTCTCGTTTGGCGATCGACAAGGAGCATATTCCCGGTGAGTTTTCAACTCCGGTCTCGAATTAGGATCGAATTAGGATCGAGCGCCTGTGTTGCGTCTTCTCATGCACATCTCTTTTTTTGGTCGGAGAGGCTCTCAGCCCTGAGAAGAGAGATACGGCTGTGGGTCAAAACCAATGGTATCCCATTTTGGGGTAGGTGAATTCACCGCCCATTTTAGAACCTATTTTAGTGGTTGGATTGGGATGTTCACTGGTACGGGATTTTGACCCATGTCCATATATCCCCACTCCCAGTGCGGAGTGGACTGACAATGACTTGACTTCGCTTTTTGCGCGCACAGCGCCACACCGGTCCCTTAGGGCAAGCCTTGAAACCTTGAAGGACACACCACGCAGAAGTATCTTACGATGTTTTCGCCATGTGGGCATAGTTGTTAATTGGGTGGTGGACATCCCTTATATTGGTGGTGATTCTCGCTGACCACTCACGCAATTGTTCCCAGCTAGAGTTTATGGCATATCTTGGGGTGTCAACCATGACATGTGGATTTGTTTGTCAATAAGAACTAAGAGAGCCTCCAAAATGAGTGGTTTTTCCCTTAGAAGGCCCCCCTTCAAAACAGAAAAGCTGCCCGTGGATGGATTCCGTCGCCCGCGTCGCGGCCGGCTGGAGGCGACAGCCCTCTTCAAGTGAAAGCTAAGCGCGTGCAGGTGGGCACAGAAGTGGCAGTCGGGCAAGGATGAAATGGCTTTCAATTGCACTTCTTGGTGGCTTTCAAAAGGAAACCAACAGGAGAACCGAAGTCCATTTTGGAGGGGTTCTGTGAGCAAAGACACCCATGTCAAGGATGGATTGAAATGGGGGAAGTTCATTGGAGACATGTGGATGGACATGGACGAAGCCCATTTGGGTAAATTAAATACCACCAGGAATTGGACCACAGGTTTTAGTCAGTGTTTCCATTTACCAAAGTGCCATTTTGGGTACCTATTTTTTACCCACAGCCAAACGGCCTTCATTTGCCCTTGGGGGTTCCCAGCCATCCGGTTCAACTTAGCTTTTTGTTTAGTACGGTAGTTTCCATTTAACACAAGGGGATCTGAGGGCAGCCCAGTTGCTGATTTGGTGGTTTTGTCGTGTTTCCCTCGGTAATCTTGGGAAATGGTCATGATTCGACTGAATATTTCTCGTATCAAGAACAAAGGCTCACCGTGTGCCTTGTTGGGATTCCTTCATTTTGAGCCACAGTCAAAACTTGCAAGAAGGAGAAGTGGTGTTGCAAGGGCCAGTCCTTTTGAGGTAACCCGGGATTTGTTGTCTTCCGCGCTTGGACACAAATCCAAGTCGTTCTGGACAGACCCCTTGATACCTTTGGTCTCTTGACTCAATCAACCGTCACTTGGACCTTGCTCTTGGATTTGACCTTGAAACTTAAAGATTTTGGAAAGTCACCGTTCCCGGCAATTCTTCTCGCAATTTCTTCCTTTTGCACGCAGGCTGTACACTAGACCCAGTGCCTAATCTCCCAGAAGTTAAGCTCAAAGAAGTGTCTCCCCAACAAGGAAGCTGGGGGTTTGTTTGAAGAGGAAATCGGCCTTCCGGAGGGACTTCCGTCAGCTTGTATGTTGGATGGGCGCATCAACTTGCACATCCCGTGGGCAAAGTGATGGAAGTTCTGCAGAGGTCGCCAAAACCGGCAGAATATTAATTCTGCCAGGCTGGACGGAAGCCAGATGGCAGTCAGCCAGACTAGCTACTGTGGATGGACGAAATCCAATTCGCACCACTTGGAAACCATGGGAAACCATGGTTGGTTGGTATTTACAGGGGAATCGTCATTCCAGGTTTCTTATGTGGTGCAGGATTTCGTCCATCCACAGTATGTTCAGAAGACCTTACTAGGAACTAGGGACGGTCACAGATCCTCACGACAACTCTCGTTCCACTGGCTTGCAACGCAGCCATCAGAAGGTCTCTAGCGGGCACACTAGTGGGGGGGTAAGTAACAAGATGGCCAACTTTGGGAGCGGCGGCAGAGGGCGTGCCAATGGCGTGCCACTGAAAAGAAGGGAACCTCGTGTTGTGCTCTTTGGGCATGTCCAAAATGGCTTGGGGCTTTCGGCTTTTCGTCTCTTTTCTCTTTAAACCCATCCCCAAGAAGGTTCCCCCCCAAAAAAAAAACAACCCCAAGAAGGGTCCTCCAAACAAGACCGGCCTCGCACGAAGCTTTTTCCGAGCCGCGAGCGAGCTCGCAGGTTGCCGAGGATCTGCGTGGGGCAGGCTGGGTCGGCATGGTTTGAGGCCCCTCAGGTGAGCGCCCAACACCTCCGGCCATTTTAGGCGGTTCTACTACCTGACTTCATATGGCTGTGGCTTAATTTGACTCAACACGGGGAAACTTACCAGGTCCAGACGTAGTAAGGATTGACAGATTGATAGCTCTTTCTTGATTCTATGGGTGGCTCAAAAAGAAGCAGGAGGGGCAAACCGCGGGTTTTGGTCCAGGTTTCCACTTACCAGGGTTCCATTTTGGTACGGTGTTTTTGAGCCACAGCCATATGGTTTTTAAGTAAGGACTTCCTGGAGTCTCCATGACCCTGTAAAAATGCGGTCATGACCCCTTTATTATGGGTAATGACCAACCATTTTTTAAGGGTCATGGAGACTCCATGTAAACATTTCGAAGCATGGAACCAACAAGTCTTTCAAGGTTTTGGGCGCAGCTCAGGTGGCTTGAGGCGGACGCTTGCGTTGCTGTCTTGGCACCTGGCGCAAACTCACTTTGGGTGTTTCGGGCGGCCACATTCTGTGATGCCCGTCCTTCATCTTCGTTGGAGTGACCAAGCGGCGATGGGAATGGGCAGACTTTCCTTCTTTGCGCTTCTGGAGGAGGTCTGCAAATCAACATGGACCGTCAACAGGGGCCTTCTCATGGGGCTCGGGGGAGAGAAGGGAGGGGGAGGGAGCCCAAATAAGCCCTAAATAAGCCCTTATTCAGCCGCCATCACCTTCTTTTTTATCATATATATATATATTATTGTAAATATCTAAGAATATAAATACATAGATATATGTATGTACACCTACTTTCACCTTTTTGACTATTCTCAGTCCAAAGCGATGCCTTTCAAGCTCTTGGGCTTCTCGGACATTCCCACAGGAATTTGATGGCCAAACCCACCGATGGACAAATCGACAATCATCCCAACCAGCCCAAAGATCTGAAACCCATTTGAATGTCAGTTTTTAGAGGGTGTCTTTCCTATTGGTTGTTTTTGAATGCAAAACAGAACAACACCGAAGCCATTTTGGAGGGGTTCTCTGCCATTTTGTGTTCTTCAGAAGCCAGTCTGAGTTTGTAAGCCATGCGCCACTTTCGGCGCAGTATTTTGTCTTGGGCCTTGTTTGCCTCTATCAGGAAGTCTTCGGATTCCTTATATAAGGGGGCTAGAACCCGGTTGACCTCCGTCGACGCGAACCCGAATCTCGGCTCGAGCTGTGTGCATTGGACCGACGTATTGATTGATTGATAGAGGGCCCAAGCACGGCATGGCGAAGCAGGCGCGGGCGGAATCTGAGAATCCGGGAGAAGGAGGGCACAGAGGTGCGAATTCAGCAAACAAACCGACGAACGAACAACCGACCGAACAAACAGACACAGCAAGAAAGAAAGAAAGAACGAAAGAAAGAAAGAAAGAACAAAAGAAAGAGACAAGCCAACAGGGGATTCGGGATGGTTTTCCGGGGGATTGGGCCTCAACCCTGCGGGTCAGTGGTCAAAGTAACTCAACGCCAAAGGAATCCAGACCCTTGGAGTAAAGTTTGGTTTTTCTCTTTCGGAATCTGCAAGCCGCATGCTGTGAGAGGTTTGCCAGTTGCGATCCACAACCTCGGGTGAACAAGTTCCCAAATTGCTCAACTTTTGCAGGGAACCATTCCTTTGGGAGTGCGGGGGATTTGGCTTCCTGCCTGTGTGGCATACATCTGTTTCGGAAGGACCTCTTTGCTGTTCTGGAATCATGAAGGCTGAAGACACCTGAAAACAGACGCACCCCCATTATGACCATGGAGAGCAGCCAGCCTTTGCAAAGTTCACCCTTGTGACGAACCGGCTACTAGCCACAACGGCTTTTGCAGCGAGGGTCGTCGGGAGCAGTCCCTTAGAGGTAGGCTCCGAACGCGCACGTGACCTTGCCACCACTGGAGAACCCCACTCCAATGAATTCTGTTTTGTTTCGCTTTCGCTTCCCTTTGAGGCAATCCCCAGACAGCGCAACAACTCCAAACGTATAAACCCGCATAGTTTATGTGGGCATCCACAACACGAAGAACGTGTGCGTGCACGGTTTGGCGCACTTTCAACATAAAAAACAAAAATAGTTTGTTTGGCATCCACAGCACGAAAAACGCGCGCTCGCGCAAGTTTTCGCGCCGTGCCAACATATCCAACCGAGCGCCCTCAGATACAGCTGGGGGATTTCGAGATGCCGGGACCTCGGAGTTGGATCTGGGAATCTAGGCAACGGCTTGGCTGCCTTTGTGTGGACCTTTTACCTCTTTCCTATTTTTGTTTTAGTAGACTCTTTTAGTCTTTTTTTAATATCCTACCAGGGTGGATCGGAAAAGCCATATCCAAACCGTTTTCTAGATACAAGTGGTCATGAGTGTTTGGAGTATCCAAAGTTAGTTTATGTTGCCAGCTTCGTTTCCAGAAGTTTCAGGCGGCTGCTCCTTTGGCCGTCAACAAATGACAAGCGTTCAACGAGTCCTATTACCCCCCCCCCCCCTTCTCCGGCGTCAACCTCCCCCCCCCCCCCCCCCGGTAGACTTCTCGTGGGTCGACAATGGAAACTAGTCGTATGAGCAGCAGACAATATAAGCAGGATTTCGCTGTGTGGGGGATCCATTTCCTATCGAGTTTGCAGGTTGATGGCTATACGTTTTGCCGTCGCCTCTTGGTTAGTGGCAGTATCGCGGGAGGAATCTGCCTCAGTTTTGCTTCCAAAGAGTTGTTTGACGGGGTAATCCCAGATCGTTTTGGATGTGCCCATCGTTTCACTGTTCTCGGCATGCGTTTAATTTCTTTGCTTCAGTGTTTTCTATTTGTGTTTAGTGGGGACTGCAAAGCGCTGTCTTTTTCTTGCAGCAGGCCTAGTGCAACGCAAGGGGGAATCACAAGCTGTCACGAGATGCAATTGTAGAAGATCTGCTTCGGCTCCACTCGCTCAAGGCTTCTGGGAAGTCCGTTGCTTGCTCGGAACCTTCGCTTTGCATTTTGCCAAGGGATGTTAGGACTTGATTTTTGTTGCCAACTAATGGGTTTTCCACAACACCACTAAAAGTTAAACTTGTAGCAGGGGAGCAGAAAGAAACCGAGTTCGATAGCCTCAGCCTGCTGTTTCGCTTGGTCCATTGGTCATGGTTAGCCCTTCATGTGCATTCTGTTCGGGTAAGTGAGTTAGACAACTAGCCCTCTGTTGGAAAGTGACGAAGGTTCCCCGACAGGCTGTTGACAAGCGCAATTTTTGCAGTGAGTTGGACCGTTTGACCAACCTTTAAGACCCTTGGTATGGGGTTCTGGAGGTGTGGAGGCTGTATATGAGTATGGGCTATACTGCCTGTGTCAACCCCCTTGCCTGAAAATGCCAACTTGACCCAGAGGCTTGGCACGCCACTGAGGACAACCGCCTGAGAAACTGGTTGGTTTAAAGGAAAACCACAATTTGGGGGGTCCTCTACAAAGCGACACACCTATATTTGGCTACCAAAGGCTTGCAGAGCCTTAGCGTGAAATCTACGCCATAAGCCGAACCATCCCCATGCGATCCGAGTGGCAAAACTGGCCAATGCCTTGGGAAAATGCGAACGTGGGGACGAAGACTTCGGAATTAACCCTTAGACATAAGCAAGCATGTTTTAGTTAGGAGAAACTTCTTTTTTTTTGCCTTCGGCACACCTGGAAGCGTCCTTTTTTCGAGTTACCATGTGTTGGGTGGTTTTGACTGGAAACCCGAGGAAAGCCCCGAAAACCGAGTCCCATGCCTTGGTTCCCTCACCTCAAACCACCGCTCCAAAGGGAAGCTGGAGAGATTGGCTGGCAACTCTTCCATCCCCTGAAAACGGCCAGCGCCAAGTAGCGGATGGCGCCTGCGTGCCCATTGGTCCGAAAATGAATCGGTCGGAGTGGAGTGCAGTCTTGCTGGCGCTCAGGGAATGAACCTGAACATTTCCTGAAAGGAAAAGCTCAAAGGGAATGCGCCGTGTTGGGATTTGCGGGGATTTCCGGATGAAGGAAAACCACCTCGGGGGATGGAATTTTCGGGGTGAGACTCCATTTGGCTGTGGGGTCCAAAATAGGGTAACCCACAAATGGGTTGCCCTGGTAAGTGGAAACATGGACCAAAACCTGCGGTCCAATTCCTGGTGGTGGAGAATTTTGGCCCATACCCATTTTTGGCTTCCATTGGGGAATCCCCAAAACCGCCGTCCATTCAAATGTTCTCTCTCCCTGCTGGCTCCATTTACCAGGGCTCCATTCCGGGTACCTATTTTTGACCCACCGCCATGTCTCTCGCGATCAGGGCGCGGACTTTGGGCTGCGGCTCCTTTGGTCGGGTGAAGTTCGCCAAGTACAAGCCAGCGCGGTCCTCGTTCGTCGGTTTGGCCTTTTTTCGGGGTGTGGCTTATAGGATTTGGTTTCCACCCCCCAAGTTTTGGCTTCCATTTTTGATAGGATTTGGTGTCCACCCCCCCCCAATGGTTTCCCTTTAAACCAGGCCCAAAAAGGACTTGGACCAACCGCAGACTGTGCTTTTTGGGGGTCCCCTAAAATGTACATTTTAGGGACCCCCAAAAAGAGAGTTTCTTGTAGTCTGATCTCTTTGCCAGATGCCATCTTGTCAAGAACTTTTGAGATCGAAGAGTGGGGGCATCCCGTTAAAGGAGGCCACAAACTGCGAGACCCGGTTAGTGACAGTAAACGGGGTTTTGTGTTCACTACTGTATGGGGAGGGGGAGCCGAAAGTTTGAGATTTCGTGGGCGTTCCGGAGCTGGGTTCGGCTGCCCCTGCGGTGATCTGCTCGTCCATTGCTTTTGACCATGGGGAACAGCCTCGAAATACGGAACAGACCTGCGGCCAGAGCACGCGATGATGATCGCTCAGCGGCATTTCCACGCAGGTCTGTCTATGAGGGGGGCGTTTCCAACCATCCATTGGCACCTGAACATGTTCAGCGTTTTCAGCCCCAACTGGCACCTGATACAAAGAGCTGGGTACATA